AACACTTTTTTTCCCCATTCTCCCCCCTTTACCTCCTACACCACCCCACCCTCCTTTCCCCCCCCTTTCCCCCCTCCCCCCCCCCCCCCCCACCCCCCCCCCCCTCTAAACTCGCCCAACTGTCCTGCTGCGCAGCATGCATATTTGACCTGGTATTTCTCTGGCTGAGCCCCCGTCAGGGTCATGGTCTGCGTCGGGGGCACCAGCAGTCACACAGGGTTAGGTTGGGTGTCATTCAGCTCCTCTGGCCCGGTGCTGCTCTCAATCATTCCCTCAGCCGAGGGGTCATCCTGTGATTCCTCCCCGCCCCACATCTGACTCAGTGGGGCTCCGGACTCATCCCATCACCAGCCCAATCTCTCCCCTCTGGAGTGCACATTTTCAGATTTACGCTTGCAAATTGTACATCTTCAGCAGTGTCAAAGTAGGAACACAATCTCTTTTGGGAATATATTTCCTCCACAGCTGAGGCTGAATGTTCTGTGACTGAGCCCAGTGTCCCCAGGTATTTCAGCTTTTCCCTCAAAGTGGGTAAGAGAAACAGAGATAAGAGGAGTCTTATAGTATGTATGAATTCATGTATGAGTATGCTGTTGGGAAACCCAACAGAAACTGAGTGTCTTGCTTCCATTCAACATGTGGTGGTCTGTTGGTTCTGATTTACATTTCAGCGAATCTCCGGCCCCATATTTCCCTTCCTTTGCATCCCTGTGATGTTCCGTGACAATTAACATCCCAACTCTTTCTTGAGGTTTGTTGAAAGCTCAGGGGCTAATTCAAGGGTCAAGCAAGACTTGCAAGCTGTCAATCTCTCATTGTAACTCAACTCCCCCTCCCAGGTTCTTTATTCTTAGCCCCCCCCTCTATTCTCCCAGACTTCGTTTTATAGAATGGCCCGACTCTTCTTCTATTCTCCTGTGGCCCTCTAGCAGCTAGAGAGGGACAACCAGGAGCTTTGTCTAAGGAGCCTGGCATTCTTTGACATCTGCCTCTTGTTTTCAGACCCCCGCTGCATTCAAATTTCAAACTGTCCTTTTCAATCAGCCCCCCTCCCCTTCCCTCTAATAACCCCCTTCCTCCCAGTTACCCAGCCTTTTCTTTTTTTTCCTTAAGAAGTCCAACTGGGCTCCTGCAATTCAAAACTTCTGCCACTCACTTGTCGATTATAAAGCATTCTGTTGTTTTGCGAATATTTAACCCACACATATGTTTACCGCCTCTGGGCCCAAGCCCCTGTGGCTTCTCCATTTTTAGAGTACTTAAACACATGTCTGCAATGACTTCATATTTAGCCAAAGCAGTGCGATACATTTTAGCAATCTGTGCTTAACAATCACGGAAAATTGCCTTCATTATCTGTCTGGTGCATTAGAAGCAGCCATGTTGAACATGATGCGCTTCATCATCTGTCCACCCACTCTCCCTCTCTTATAAACTCCCAATCCCAGCACAACAACACATTTCTGCAGATGCTAAAACCTGTTCTAAGATCACACCCAAGTCGAGGGCGATGTAAGAAAACAGTCGAGACATGATCGCCGTCGGTTTCTGTTTCAAGGCGGAGAGAGAAAAGAAACCCCCAGCTGAGAGGGGAGACCTCGGCACGTTTAATGAGAACGGCAGTCTTCCTTCAGTGTGCGCCTTTGGTGTCTCAGCATGTTAAACACTCACAGCATGATACAAAATATATTAAAGTTTAGGACTGTTATCATCGATTTACAGAACAGCCGTCCCCACGTACTAGGGATCTACATTCTGCATTTCTTCTTCGTAGCAGGGGGTCTCGACTGCCTGGGAGGCAAAGCTGTGTAAACGCATTTCGTCTTTGTCTCTACATTCTGACACACAAGGTCCGTAGAGCACGTTGCCTCTTTTTTTACACTATGATGACAGGCAAGCAAGAATAATCATAATGATTTAACACTATTATCTCGGGATAAGACTTATAATAGTTTGTTTACATTTGTAAACCCAAGCCCCTGCAGCCACCGAGAGACACACATGAAATGCACACTTTTTCACCTGCTCCTAATATAATTAATATTGTAGGTATAAGGTATTTCATTTGCAAAATAAGAATGAAAATACCACCTCTTCTAATGGTTTGGAGGTTAAAGAGGTCATGTGTTTTGATGGAAGACTTTTAATTGTTAAACAAGTGATGGGCACAGCATGCATCTGTATTGGGACTATCAGTGTGTGTCTGTGCACTCTAATCATTAGATTACAACCAGAGCAAGGCAACACACTAATTAATGCAACTACCATTATAGACCTTAACCAGGTTATCTTACCCGGTGTCAAGGTCGTAAGCCGAGCAGGCGTAGCATCAGTCTTTGAAATTGCACTTGGCAGGTATATCTGGAAGTGCCTGTGTTTTGATTCTCTGCACGCTCCACAGAGGTCACAGAGTGAACCTGATGCAAAGTGAGACTATATTCGATAAAAGAGTGACAAGGCTAGGGTTGGTGGGAAAATGGAAGTAATATTTTTGAGTGACAGTGATATAAATTGTATGCTGCTAACACCTAAGGTGCCTGTAAACATGTTAAAACAATGATTACAGAGTATATCTCTTCATTCTTTTATTACATTGCTTTTTAATGTTAGCCTGCTAGTAAATTTAGTTTAAGTAATTTAGTTATGCCTTTGGAAATAGGGTTATTGTGAACCAAGTAAACAAACTTTTACTCTAAGGTAGTATATTATTTTGTCCATGATAATATAAAGAGCACATTTTGTCATTAACACTTAAACGTATGGGTGATCTATGTATTGTCTGTCTTAGTGGACAAAAGAGTAAGAGCTAAGACTTTGTGCGCACGGATGAAGCTACTTAAGCCTATATGTGCACGATACAGCTTATTTGTGGAGACAATCTGCTTAGATCCTTGTTATACTGTATGGACCTGTGTAAGCTGTAGGCTGATTATTTGTAGCCACTTGCTTGATGAACTTAACTTGTGACCTGTGCACTGATCAGCCAAAAGACTAGGCTTAGGGTTTTGTTTGGTCTCCGTGATCAACTTTGATTTGTCGAGTCTCATGACTGCATATTATTCCATTTAGGCTAAATACATTGTGACTGTGTGTGCTGTGCTCCTGTTAACCTTTTTTAAATGGTTCTAAAATTAAAGGTCTCAGGTGAGGCCCAATGTCATACTAGATGAGCTGATTATGGCAGGCCTAATTATAACTTTGTTGGCTGATGTGTTCGCCCTGCATTTCTCGGCGATGAATTATCATGCTGTCTGAGAACTCAGACAAAATAGATCAAAGACTCTTCTGGCCGTGGATCATCTCTAGAGTGGAGGAACAAGCCGAAGCTAATTTGTGCAGGTCTGGCTGTACATGACATGAAAAACATAATTCCTCTCCTTCTTTTCAGTTGAGTTCTCCTTTTAACTCCTACTGTGATGGAGTACACTCTGTCCCTTGCTTTCTAACAAACATTTCCAAGCTGAATGCAGAAAAGAAAAAATGGCATGTTGTTTTTGAATGACTAAAAATTATTTTAAAAACATTTTCTAATGGGGTCCTATGTGCCTTGTTGCCAGAGTGATGCCAAATCCCATGGTGAATGTGCTAATGGTGCATGGGAGTGAGAGAACTGAGCTAAGCCCAGCAGTGTAAACATGCAGACAAAAGGGAGCCGTTAGTCGTGTGAAACGCATGCCTGGGCGAGCAGGTAGGCATTAGGTTTCACCCTACACAGCCAGAGCACTGTATCCGTGACTGGGAGGAGGCCATTTGCTTTTGTAGCAAAAGAAAGCAAAAACAAACACTCAAACAGACGAGTACTAAAGGGACAGGTATGGATGAGGTGGGGAGAGAGGAATTCTGGGGAGTAGAGTTGTAAGGGAGGGGATTGAGGAGGGAAGGGGCCGGGGAGATAAGGTGGTTTGTGGTCAGTCACAACAGAGAGAAATGACCATTTGCTCTGCAGTGTCTCTCTATTTGTTTGTTTGTTTGTTTGGCTAGGGCGCGGGGGTGGAAAGAATCACAATACATCAGTCAAATAGAAGGACTGTTACATTTAAACCTCTGCTGAGGGAAAGGTAGTTGGAAAGTCTACTTAAATAAACAGTATCATGTAGCTAATTACAAATGTTGTTGTTTGATTGACCATGTCTAAAAATAACTAAACTACAAAAATGACATCAGTATTTGACCAGACAAGACAAAGTATACATCCTCCGCTGTTATTAAAAAGTTTTTCCTTTTATTACTCAGACATCAACAAAGCTAATGCAGACCAATGCAGGATGAAAAGCTTTTTGGCTAATGTTCACCAAGCTATTACCATCGATACTTTTTGCATTTAATGTTGCTGTCAGTTAATTTAACATTTCCGCCATGTGGTTGGAGAGTTTTGATGCCGTGTCAATTTACAGTTGTTCAGTTCCTGAAGCAACTCTTCTGGCTAGTTGACAAAACTTTTTCTGTAGGGCTGATTCCAATCTGTCGGAAGCTTTGTTCTACAATGGAGGGACTTTTGGTGATTGCAGTATTAATAGATGGAGATCTCCAATCAAGATCACTTTAAAATCCTTACTCATATGTCAATTTGTTTTACTGGTTAGACAATTCCTACATGTTTTAGAAGTTCTAATCAAGATACCTCTTTGTATAAGGTACAGAAAATGTAATTTGACACAGCACTGATAAAGTTAGCATCACGAGGAGACGGACAGGGCCTTATCTGTTTGATGACAGCGCTGATCCCGCCCCTCCCTGCCAGTGAAATGGTTAGCATTCAGCAGCAGCCATTAAGGGATTTCCCTTCTCAGGATTATTGACCTTATGGGCTTATTTAGGTGGCTTTGCATTGGTTTGTAGCATTTCACAGCTTAAGGTTTGTCACATTTCTGCAGTGGAATGCAAATGCAGCATCAAGTGTGACAGGATGGTTTCCTGTGTGAAATTGCATAGGGGCAGAGCTCACCACGTGGAATACATTTCACCCCTGAACTGAACGTCTCTCTTGTTCTGCTCCACAGGTGACAGGATCAATGATGAGCATCTCTGAGACCGGTTGGCTTGGACTTTTCTAATCAGAACCTTTTTACTCGCAACACAATCCTGCCACAAACCATCAACCCCGGGCGCCATGGCATGCTCCCTGTTGAAACTACAGACCTTCTGCTGGTTTCTCATCACACTAGCACAAGTGCACTCCACAGAGGGTAAGTACTCATGAAACTTTTTCCTTTGTAAAACAGATTTTTTTTTCTCACATGCCACTGTTCTAAAAGCATCTTTTCAATGAGTGTCTTTTCAGGCTTGACAAAAGCCAACGCCGGCATATTATTTGTTATTGTCTTATTTAGAAATATATAATGAGCAGTGAAATTGTGACTGAAGCCAGAGCTGCTCCTCTGAGTGCAGGCGGTGCTTGTGTAACTAATGCAGCTCTAAAGACAGTGGGCACAGGCGGATGGGGGATAATCTTGAGTGGTTTCATTAGTTGGTAAATTGTGATTTGTCTGAGATTTTCTGCTTGATAGCGTCAGTTGTTCCCAGTGGCATCAGAGCTGGATCCATTTGTAAATTCCTCTCTGGAATGTCTCATGGCAGACACACACAGATTTCACACTTCGAAAAATATAAAGCTTGAACGTGTTTTAATCATAGTGCATTTAACTTTGATTAAATCACTCTCAGCTGTCTCATAATAACAAGATGTATGCAGCCAATCCATATCTTATAAAGTGTATCCTGTACATGTTAGTGTGTAATCACGAGAATAGAGGTGATTTAGAAAAACTAGAGTTGGCATCTTTGCAATGCAATACATCAAAAGCATGATCAAGGTTGTTGGTGCCAAATGTTCACTATACCTGTTTTACTGATTTTTAAAACACTCAATAATGTAGGATTATTGATTGAAGTTTGAAAAGGTAGTGATTCATCAAGATGCTTAATTTACACTGCAGCAAGTCCCACTGCCATGATGTGTTTTACCATATGTTCTCTTCTATCATCTGGCTTGGATCTTTCATATAAGATTTTTTTTAGCACGTGGTTTCTATGGGCTTCAGTAATACACATTATACAGTATGTCTGCACCCTGACATATCATTTTAGTTACCTCACGCAAAGATAAGAGTTTGCCATTTCAAAGCCTAGGTATCTATACGTAAGCGTATTCAGGGGGCAGGAAAGATAGTCCCCACCCTAGAGAGTTTCTGTGCATTGCAGTGCTCCTGGTTTCACCCCACATACCATAAAACTCAGTGTTTTTAAAGATGGAAAGCCAGTTTGGGATCTATATGTTACATGACTAACTCCCAGTGATTGGTCAGGGCGCATACTGCCAAAGTGGATGAGATAAGGTTAATCTCTGTATGGTATGAGACTGTTTGCTGACAGGTTACATGTGACTCACAGGGGACACTCCTCTGGTAAACGGAGGGAGTTAGCAATCACTGTCGCACAAGAAGAAACGTTTATTCCAAATCAGGGGGAAGGAGAAAACGCAACAAAGTAATAAAGCAGGTTATTGACGACATTTATCATTCACCTGTTCCTCTTGTTGGTTCCGCTCCGCCCTCACCTCCCTCCCATTCCCCATCCCAGCCACAGAGATCAGCCCAGAAACAGTTCATTACAAACAATATCCCCAAGTTACTATGCTTCATTAAACTGCGTCTACCCCTAATATCTTTTTAATGCATTTCTATAATTGAATTAAATGGGTTAGTAGAATGCTGTAAATAGTCCTAAATTTAGTCCTTTTTTCTCTCTTCGCTTTCTTTGCGTTTGAAGGAAGATATACACAGCCAAGATTGAAACTGTAGCTGTGGGGGATTGTGTTTCTCTCTGTTCTCCTTCTATTCAAATCATGCCTCATCCAGCACATTTTACTGCATCAGCCCGACAACTTTACATGACTCTGATCTGTATTTGTTCAGCCTACTCACTGCCATTCCAGGCGTTTCATCTCCCATTTTACTTATTTTATTCACATCTGGGAACAGAAAGGCTTGTATGTATCCACAATGGAGGCAGCCTAGTCAGTGACATTAGTTTCTAAAATTGATTTGACTTATTATTCTAATTATGCTATATATAGATGAACTGCATATATTTCACGATGTTATACATATCAAAGGGGCCCTGGGTCTCTGAACCATATAATATAGAATTAACCATGCTATACTGGAGATATCATTCTATGTTTCTGTCCCTTATGTGAACAGCTTCTCCTTAAGTGCGACATTGTCTACAGTCATGGTAAAACAGCAAATATTATAACAACTATTTCAAATACAGGCCTGTTTTATACCCTGTGATTGGATCTGGGAACATACATTTGAGCCAGTGCTCTCGCAGTATGTCCGTGAAACTGCAAAATCCCAAGAGGGCCTTGTTGTGACATAGATACTGTAATCAAAATCAATATCAGTATGGACATAATGGTTTGAGAAGAAACACTATATGGGATTCCGGGTATGACATGGAACTCAACATATTCCCAGTTCTAAGGGGTTGTCACATTTAAAGTCTAAAATTCAAGAAGAAATGTCGTTAAAGGACACATGAAGTTCAGTTTGCTCATTATTAATAGTAGTAAACCCAGGCTGTTAAAACAGTTGCATCATGTCTTCTGTGGCTCTGGAGGGAGATTTCCAAAGTCTAATGATGCCATCCGAGGTTATCTTGGCTTGGACTTGAGACTTTATTCTTCTTTTTTCTCACAGAGTTAGGTTTTTAGTAGAAACTGGGGGCAGGAAGTTCAAGGGAAATAGGTATTTAGCAAACAGGGAGAGTCTTAGCAAATATATTATTTGTTGCATTAGTCAAGGGGCAGAAACCAGTTTTGCCGAAGCTTGACCCATAATATAGACTAAAATACAAGATATCTTGGCCTCTGCTCCATTGATTTTTCTTTTTAAATGTTTACCTATCGGTAAAGCTGCTTATGAAATATTGAATGTTTGGGAGGCCTCTTTCTCAATGCACTACTTTCCTCTATTGAGCAGTTTTTAACACACATTTTTAGATGAGGAAGTACAAGACAAGTGGACAAACAATCTACTAACATCCTGTTTTTGTCTTAAGTGGGAAAGGATTCTATTGGCATTCATTCCTGGGACAAATCACTCTCAAGTATCACAGGCAATAGTCAAAGATTTCCCTGCGTAAAAAAATCATATACACGGTTATTTTGGTTGAGAAAGAGAGTATCACTTTAATCAGTATGTTTTACTCCAACCAGCTTTGATATTGTTTGCCCTCTGGCATTCAGAGTGATCTTCTTTGATGCTGCAGGTTTATTTCCTTTTGTCCTACTAGTGTCCTCTACGGATGTCACCATAGCAACCCACCAGAAATGAGATGAAGGTGTAATTTTGCTTTTTTGCAAAAATGTAAAAACTTTGGTCATTGCCCCCTTGCAACACATGGTTAAATTGGCTCACATGTCTTCCAAAAATAATTACGTGAAGTCTGGTTGGGTTGGAGGGATTTGTCTGTATCAGCAACAGAATAACAATTCTCACCAAGCTCAGGCACACGCTCTGTTCAAAGGATTACAGGGACAGATTTAGAGAGCAGAGCAAGATTCTTTGTCAAGAGGTAAGGAGGGCAAAGTGTGCAGCTAGCTGGACATGCTTCAAAAAAAAGGAGAAAATGTGTGTGTTACATTGTTTATGTGTTGATGATCCCCATTTTACTGGGATGTTCTTTACTGTTTTGAAATCAGTGTCATTGCTGCATGGCCTTTACAGTATGGAAGCTTTACAGTTATTATAAAATCAGTCTCTACAATAAAAGCGAGGCAATGTTAAGTAGGTAATGGAGACTTAATGAAACAATGATTCAACGGAAATTGTTTTCCCTAGATTGCATATTGTCATTCTATTACAACGGAGCCTGGGGTGGTTGTATCTGTAAGGTTTGGGGGGTACATGAAGAGTTGGCCATGATATAAAAGCTGCGTTTCAGTGGCAAGACTTGTTTGAACAAGTCTGACACTGAGAATGTCTGTTCCGTCTGTACACCCTAAAACCACACTATTGTTTCTCCTCAAAGCTTGAAATGTTTGAAGTACTTGAGATTTCTCAAGGGCAACAGGGAAGGGCACCTTTAAAAGTCCTCTTTTTGTACCGTGTGAAAGGGAAAGAGAAGAGACTTAAAGCCTTCATCTCAAAGTGAATGGAGAGAAATAGACAATCAAGGTGTTCTGAAAATGTAATTACTGGAAGTAAAAGCCCAGGGCTTATTGTGAGACAGAACCTACAAGGACAGGACCGGCACTTCCCAGTGCCGCGCCAACACCTATTTGCTCCGGTTAGCCTTTTCCTTTAACCATGTAAGCATATTTATATAATTTTCTGAAAATGGCCAATCCCTCAATTTTTTACACTCAAAAAAAGACCTTTGCTTTTTTCAAAATGAACTGTTAAAGGGTTAATACCCAGCAGGTAAATCCAATCAGTTCAACATCCAGATATCACAAGCCTTCTCTTCTGAGGCAAAGCAGTATCTATGCTTATAGGTGATGTACTTTTCATTTTCTCCACGAGGGGCCTTTTTCTCAGCAATTTGGCTTGTACATGTTATCTTTAAAAGAAAGAAAATCAAAATACTATCTGTCAAGTGTCAATGTGAAACCACGGGCAGTAGGCCTGTTCTTTTGAAGTACTAATTTGTGCCAGAGTTGTGTCCGTAAAAAAATCAAATGAAAGCACCCCACTGCGGCACCACACGCCACTTCCCTGACCTCTTTGAAAACGCTGGCCCATAGCTCATTTGTTAATACAAACAAATCATTTATTTGGTAATTATTTTACAAAATGGTTATTTGCCAATTCAGCTAGTTTTTCTACAGCTTCCAATGTATTTTATTTTGGAAAGGGCACTAAAACAGTTAAGGCTAAAGGGGTGAATCTTTCCTTTGTCTCATGTGTCTTTAGTAAACAACTTCTGTCGGTTTTGTATTTCAACCTTCCGCTTGATGTCATCCTGGTTGTTTGCGGCAGACTTAGGAATCTGGCTTCCCGTGGAGCCAGGCAGGCGTGGAGCCTGTGTACGTAGGCCCACCATGCTGTCATGTCTCTTTTGTCGCCAGCCAGGCTTGGCCAACAAGGAGACAATGACAGGGAGAGCAAGCAGTGGCAAGGTGTAACCACAGCCCCTGGGTCTCCTCCCTGCCGAGCACTTCAAATCCTCATTAGGATTT